ATACTTTACATCTGCTTGAAATGTATAGTATGGATTCGCCCATGGAATGCCTTCAATGAGCAACAACTGCTTCTCCATTTAGAGACATGTTCCTTGGCTTCATACTAGAACCCTCCACATATTATTTCAGACAAATCCCCCATCATCGCCATGCCTATTGGTCCTACTGGCTGGGACTGGTGGAAGCTATATTCCAAAACATCTACATAGTGTACTAGGGTGTTGAAGGCTGGGCTAGAGGTTGGGATCCAAAGCCCCTGAACCCATTGGAGTGACTCTACAAATCTCAGCCCCCTCACCAGTTCCATTCAGAAACATTCAAATGACCAGGAGTGTGTGTGTTCTTTCCTTCGACTTGCCACGTGTGAGATGATTCTGCCCTTAGGTATTCCTTCCAGAGTACCTAAGCACATAAGGAAAACACAGCACCAACCCTTCCTCTAGCTAGAGCAGTGCAAACATTTCGTTAAACCTTCGTATCTCAAGGGGGAAATTGACAGAGTAAACTTTTCACCCAGAAAGCCCAGTTTAGACAGCCCTCAGGTTGAATCCTCCACCTCTTCCCTGCACTCTTACGTCATTGATTTATCCTCTATCCAGCCAGTAAAAGCAAACCCTGTTCTTTGATTCCAGCTTTATTACAATGGAAAGGAGGCCAGAGCCAATTACTAGGGCTGTATGTTTTTACGAATGGAAAAGAGGTGCAGAAGCCAGCAAAGTTTCAGCCCCTCTGCTTGTTTTGCTATTGTCGGCTTGAACACCTTCCCACAAAGTTGGTCGGTTGTGGAAAAGGGTACACCAATCCTCTGGAAGGCAGTAACAGGGTTTGGATAAGGCTACATCCGTTTTAAAGATCTGCTAAAGCTCATGCTTGCTTCATATTTTTTCTTATAGCCTGTGGCTTCATTGAGGTTCTGAGCTCAGTAGTTCTGGTTCCTTAAGGGAAGGGCTATAAGAAGCTGATTTATATCAGGTCAGTCCATTGGCCCATTTGGCTGAGTCATGTCTATTGCACTGACTGGCAAGAACTGCCCAGGGTTTCAGATGGGAGCAATTGCCAGCTCTGTCTGGACGTGCCATGGAAGAACCTGGGACCTTCTTCCTGCAAAGCATGAGCCCTTCCACTGAGGTATTGCCCTTCCTCTAAGCTTAGTGGTGGAGCACATGTGAAAGGTGCCAGGTTAACCACTGGTATCGCCAGGTAGGCAGGGCAGGTCCAAGACATTATGGCACCTGAGGTGGACCCCAAAATGGCAACCTCCTCCCCACTGGGAAGAAGGGGTGAGAGAAGATCTACATCAGGAACAAGTGGGAAAAGAAAGACTGACATCAGGATCTGCTGCCCTGGTGAATTCTGCCGCCTGGGGCAGTCGCCTCACCTTGCCTCCTGGGTGGGCCAGCCCTGCAGAGCTCGGAAAGACTCCTGCTTCATCCCTAGAGAGCCCCTGCCAAAATGTACAGGCATTCACTGAGCTAGATGGACTGACATTCTGACTTCCCTCATTCCTGTCTCTTAACTCCCTTGCCTGTTGCTTCTCACCACTCATAATTGTTATTCTGTGAGTTATTATCAAAGGAGTCAAGAAACAGTGTTAATAAGAAGTCAGTGATAGGGAATCATTGCCTTTGGAGAGGCGTTTTGTTGCATGTCCTGAAATGCAACCCTCAGCTCAGAAACTGGAGCAATGAGATCAATTCCTGGCTGCGAGCAGAGTTTCATTCAAGCCATGGGAGTGTGCACTTTGCACAGCATACAGGAGACTACAGGGGGTGCTGAATAAATGTTTATGATTCCTGTTACTGGTGTTACATTTGGTACCAGGAGGAATTATAAACATTTATTTGGCATGTGCAGTGTTGTAACAGTTGTAGTAAAACGTATTTATACATTGTAATACCCCGTTCATATATTGCTATTAAGCAAGGAGAAGGTTCAAGACCCAAAAAGGCCCTTTAGGCGATAGCAAGTGAACTCTGCACATTCAGTGAAGTTGTTCTGGTTTATTTTTATATTTCTGCCACTCCCCCTGCCATCTAGTCTGACCCTAAGCAAATACGCCAAGAACTAAGGCGTGCTCTACACATACCATAGAATGAAGTAGGAATGAGGTGTTAGAGTGGTGTACTGTACTACTTTTGGACAATGAGTGGGTCACATTTTTTGACAAAGCCCCCTTCACTCAAGTGAACAGAAACTCCTGGCAAGTCAAAACTAAGTTGTTAATAATAATAATAATAGTTAATAAAAGTTAATAATAATAATCATCATCATCATCATCATCATCATCATCTATTATTTATACCCTGCCCATCTGGCTGGGTTTCCCCAGCCACTCCAGGCAGCTTCCAACAGAATATTAAAATACAATAGTCTATTAAACATTAAAAACTTCCCTAAATCCCTAAACAGGGCTGCCTTCAGATGTCTTCTAAAAGTCTGGTAGTTGTTTTTCTCTTTGACATCTGGTGGGAGGGCATTCCACAGGGCGGGTGCTACTATGGAGAAGGCCCTCTGCCTGGTTTCCTGTAACTTGGCTTCTCACAGCAAGGGAACCGCCAGAAGGCCCTCGGCACTGGACCTCAGTGTCCGGGCAGAACGATGGGGGTGGAGACGCTCCTTCAGTTATACTGGGCCGAGCCCGTTTAGGGCTTTAAATGTCAGCACCAACACTTTGAATTGTGCTCAGAAACGTACTGGGAGCCAATGTAGGTCTATGTGGTCTTCACTCCTTATATTTGTAGGGAGGGTCGCTGGAGGAGTGTTCTGAAATGCAGGGTGCCTTTCTAGACTGTTGCTATTTTGCACGTCCAAGGAGAACGACCGTACATGTGCTGACCTCTGTGCATGTAGAGCTGAAGCAGTGCATCATCAGGGCTGACCCGAGACATTCTTCTGCCTAAGGCAGAGCAGGAAATCTTGCTTGCTCCCAAGTCAAGGTATATATAGTACTGAAATCCAGACACATTATTTGGCACTAGAGGTAGGTCCCGCAAGCATCTTGCTTCCACTTCTACCTAAGTGCATGGGCTTCTCCTTTTTAATCACATGGAACAGGAATGGGGACCCTTTCGCCTTACAGATGATGCTGGACTCCCAAATCCCATCACCCCCAGCCAGCACAGCCAATGGTCAGAGATGATGAGAGTTGTAGTTCAACACTGAGAGGGAAACAGGTTCCGTGGCCCTGATGTAAAGTCTGTTCTGTCACATGTGTGCACCAGGCCATGTTACAGTGAGTTCAGAGGACTTACGTCCTAGGACTAGCAGACTTTGGGCTCTCAAATTTCAGCAATGCTAAAATTCAGCGTCCCCCCTCCCACCTCTCAGCATTGTTGTGGCGCCCCCTGCAGCACAGTGCCCAGTGCGGCTGAACCAAAGATGCTACCCTAAAACCGCCTCTGTTCCTAATAAATGGGCTTAGTGATGATCCCACAGAGACTGCATCACCCAGTGAGAGCAACTGGAAAATTGCCCCCACTTTGGGTGCCTTTCTCCCCTGCAACGACTTTTCAAACTCGCCAATAGGATCAGTCAGGAACATGTTTTATTTGGCAATCAAGTACTTCAAAGTGGTACTTAAAATCTATCTCCAGGATGCAACTTTTTATGTTTACAAAGTAAGCTGGGTTTTGTAAGAGGCTGTCTTCACCCTGCCCAGGATCTATCAACATTAAAAACTCCCTCTGGTCTCAGTCAATAGTTTCACAGTGCAGTTTTCTTAGGTCAGCCAATGAATTTTCCATCTTAGTAAACAGCCTCTCCCCAGTCTGGGGAGAGAGGCGGGTGGAAACCTACTCTGTATCTGTTGAAGAGAATGTGACAGATTTCGGTCTGATTCAACAATGCAGTGCCTGCCTTTTGTTCTTCCCCTAGGACAGGGATGAGGAACTTGTGGCCCCTTAGAGTTGTTGGACTCCAACCCCATTAGCCTCAGCCAGCATGGTCAATGGTCAGGAATAATGGGAGTTGTAGTCCAATAACAGCTAGAGGGCCACAAGATCCCCATCCCTGTCCTGGTGCTCCAGATCCAAAGAACTATGCTAAGTTTAGTCAAACTTGGGAACGACCTGTGGGATGATGGTGATGTACATATTTAAATCTTCGAACAGCAGGCCCCCCGCCTCTATCCCCATGCAAAAGCAAATTGTGAAATGGCAAGCAAGTCCTCTCAGGGCCAAACAAGACATGATGTTTTTCTCATCTTTCTTTTTTAATAGCTCTTGGTTTCTTATTCTATTTTTTTAGCAAATAGAAGCCAACACACACACACACCAATTCAGATTGGGAGCACGAAAGGGACATCATTAAAGTTACACAGACATCAATAAAGCTACACACACACCATGGTCCCAATCCACTCCCAGTCGCACAAAGGGCTAAAAAGGTTGGCCTCCCGTTTCAAAAGTCAGCTTGCCATGTGGCAAGGCGGTGGCATCTGTTATTCGAGAAAAATAATCCCCAAACCTCCTTGAGTGCTTTGGAACAATTTGTGCTGTTCTTAAGACTTTCATCTGCTAGAGTGTCTATCTTTTATAGTTACTACCAAACAACCCCAAAAAACCACCTTTGAAACAAACGATCAAATCTTAAGAGGCTACAGATGGGAAATACTAATTGCACACATCTGAAATGGCCAGAATGAAACCATCAGTGGCTCTGGGACGACTTGTATCATAATAGGCCTGTATTCTTTAGTACAATTCCACGGATGCTACATTGGCATCAACAATTAGTGGACTCCTGCTGTAATAGCTGGTCCCTTCCTCAGCCACAATCCTATACTCATTGACCTGATGTAAACCCCATTGAAATCTTTGGGAATTACTTTTGAGTAAATATCTATACTATAGCATTGAACTGAACACAGGACTCATACCTAACAGCAATCCAAATTTCCTTACTGTGGGTGAAATAATTTGTCCATCTTCCATCTACCTCACAATGTGGTTTGCGCTGACTGGTAGCGCCTTTCCATTGTTTCCTGTAAAAGTCATTCCCATCACCAAAGATAGTTCAGTCAGCAGAGCATGAGACGCTTAATCTCAGGGTTATGGGTTCAAGCCCTAGGCTGGGCAAAATATTATTGCACTGTAGGGAGCTGGACTAGATGACTCTTATGGTCTATGATTCAATTTTTCCTGCTGTTTGGGGAAGTATTATGGCAGGAATTGAACCTGAAGCCTTCTGCATGTGAAGCTGGTTCTCTACCAATGCGCTATGGTCCCTTCCCTACTCAAGTATGGAAAGCCTGCCTCCCACTTCTGGTGTGTAGGGATGGATTGGAATTACTCCACACTTGCTCAGTGATACTCATTCATTTTGATATCTAGTGATATCCACTGGAAGGAAGCGAGTCCTGGGTCTGGTTTAAATTAAGACCAAGCTCAATTTAAGCTCCTCCTAGGGAGCAGTTTAATCCAAGCTCTGAACTGAGGCTGTGTACACACTACAGTATAGTCTTGTAACTCTGTGAGGGTTAAATGGCTGTGCTCAGAATTATCTGAGGGAAAGAATGTGCTTCAAATGTGTTTTGAAAGTATATACCGTTAAAATACATTCCAAGCACATTATTCCTCTCAAAGACTTCTGGGTCCTGTAGTTCACTTCTTGCAGAATTGCAATTCCCAGAAACTGTGAAACAAACTACGGTGCCCATAATTCTTTGAGAGAAAGAATGTGCTTTAAAGGTATCAAGCATATAGTTAATGTTTAGCTAGGCTGCAGCGAATGAGAGATGTGAGGCTTGTGTAGGGAAGTTAATGGCACCTGACAGTCGCACTTGTATACACAAACTCTAATTGCTGTAAATTCCCATTGAGAGCCAGTGTGGTGTTCAGAGCTAAAGGACTGGACTTGAGCCCAAGAGAGCTTGGCTCAAATTCCTGCTCCGTCATCATGAAGCAAATGGGGTGGCCTTGGAGTGGGTGAGTCTGCACTTCCCTTCTCAGCCTAATCAACCTCACAGGGTAACTGGGAGGATAAAATGGCGTCCTCCTCCCCAAGCAGTTTGAGCTCTTTACGGGAAAGGCAGGATCAAGGGTGGTGAAGAAAGCTCTGCTTCTCTCCTGAGACTCAAGTACAAAAGACGGTGTTTTCTTCCCAGAATGGAATAAACATTATTGCCATCTGTAAAAGTATTACAATGCACTCGAAGTGGGAACAACAAAGAAGATGAGCCATAAAATAGCAAGCGCAGTCATATAGGGCTGACAAGTGCCTATGATTCAATTTACCTTTTTTAAAAAAGAGATTCCTTCAGGAGCGCTGTAGATTGTTATGCACTCCCATTTGTTTCCTAGAGATAAGTTTGATTCATGAACTATTTTTAGGAGAGGGTTTTTTCCCTTCTCTTTTTAATGCCTGGACATTTCCAATATGTCAGTCACATTATATACTGCAGTGTGGCATGTGAATTTATAGCAGGTTATTAAAATGTCCATGTAGGATCTCCATCGCAGCTTGCTCCTACATCCTTTTTTTATTACAAGCTGCTTTTTTCAAAAAAGAGAGAGAGAGAATTGAAAGATTGTGGCTGTACATTTGATGACCTGCGTATGTTGATCAAGGATGCTACAGGGAGAAGGCGCAGTGCAGGAAATCCCATCTGAACATTCAACTGCTGGTTGGCAGGAGTACGTTAAGCTGTCAATCACATCGCTGACTTTGAATGTGCTCCGTAGTAAAGCTTCTTCTCTGAGGAATCTGGCTTCATAAAAGTGTTGCTGGTCCTTGATGTTCTCAGCAGAGAATAGGAAGGAAAACATGGCTCTGAATAGCTCACATTGATTGCAGCAAATCGAGTGGAGGAGGGCAAGCTGCGTATCCCTGCTCTGAGCCGGTGTGTTACAGAACTGAACATCTATTCATAGCTACTGGACTGGCTCCAAGTCCGGAGCATAAATTTGCTTGTATCATCTTTTGCAGAGAGGAATTGTAGTCCCCAGTGTCTCCCGTTTGATTCGGGAAGACTGTTTATTTGTTTAGGCCTGTAATGATATTATCCACAGGGCTAGAGCCACACAGGGAGGATCAGGAATTCCTGGAGGAGAAACTGTGTGTTTTATTACCCTGACAGCCTTTCGTGACACAAGCCAACAGTGACTTTTGTTTGTTGTTACTCTCGATGGCTGTTGCTCCTTCTCCAGGCAAAATAGAGGGAGATCCTCGAAGAGCAAGCAGGCAAAGCGAAATCTGGTCTGGCAGCTTGCAGTCAATAAGTCAGAGAGGACCTCTGCTTTCCCCACTTAACTGTATAGTTTGTTTTATAGCCCAGTGAAGCTGCATAGCGAGGACTTTATAGAGGGTGGATTTCCCCCATCCCACCCAAAAAAAGGCCTGGACATTTCCAATGTGGCATGGCATCTAATGTATCCCATGCATGTTTACTCATAAATATGTCCCAAACTGTTCAACTGGGCTTCCTCTTTCATTAGGTGCATGTAACAAGGCTGGTAAGCTTTTTTCACCCTAAGGGCCGCAATCCCTTCTGGACAACCTTTCAAGGGCCACATGCCAGTGGTGGTTGGGCCAAAGGCAAAAGTGGATGAAGCAAGATGTGTACATTTTACCTTTGTATGGTAGGCTGGTTTCTACACACACACACACACACACACACCCCTCTGCATCCTCCATGCAGGAAACCAAGAATTAATATCTAAAGGGTTGTCACATGGAAGAAGGAGCAAGCTTGTTTTCTCCTGCTTTGGAGGGTAGGTCCTGAACCAATGGCTTCAAGTCAGAAAAATGGAGATTCCGACGAAACATCAGAAAGAACTTTGTGACAATAAGAGCTGTTTGACAGAGAAGGGTCTCGCTCAGAAGGTGATAGACTTCCTTGAAGGTTTTAAGCAGAGGTTGGGTGGCCATCTGTCATGGATGCTCTAGTTGAGATTCCTGCCAGCTCTAGAATTCTATGGTTCTAAGAGGCATTATCAGAGTTCAATGGAGCATTCCAGCCAGGCCAAAACAGGGTTTGAAACAAGGCCAGTGAGGGGTGTGGCCTGAGTACAGGGGCTGTGGCCAAGGGAGAGTTCCCAGGCCAGACAGAGATGCCTGGGGGCCTCATTCAGACCCTGGCTCTGGGGTTCCCTTCCCTGCTATATAGGATTGCAGCATCAGGCATCTGTCCTAAGTGATAATACTTCATGTACTTAGTAGTTAATTTCTAAGCCAGAGTTGAGGACCATGTGGCTGTCCAGATATTTCCAGACTGCAATTCCTATAATCTTTGAGGAGAGAAGTGCTTTTAAAGCACATTCTAAATAAATGCCTCTATGCTGGCCAACAATCTTGGGAACTGTAGTCATGGACTTACATTTCCCAACAGCCTTAACAAACTATAGTTCCCAGGGTTCTTTGGGGGTGCAGAATGTGCTTTGAAGGTGTGTAGTACAAAGTTAGCAGCTGCAAACAGATGTCATGCTTTTAAAGCACATTCAAAGCACAGATACACATCATAGCATGATTTCCATTGTAACTGTAGGGACTTTGGGGCAGGGGTGAGGTGGGGAAGAGGCAGCTATTTAATGAAAATCAGACATTTTCTGCTGTGCAATTTATATCTAAACAGCCCTTCAAGGGTCTTTTAACAAGTCTATAAACAGTCCTGGAGTTCCCAAAAACCATTTACAAATAAAGCTTTTCAAGAGCCGTGTCCAATCTGAGCAAAGAATACGGTGCTTTTCTCTCTGCGCGTCTCTCTCTCTCCCTTTCTTTCTTTTAATAAATATTTAGCTTCAGGGAAGGGTGGGGGGAAAGGCCAAGGGTAACAGAGAGCATCGGTTGTTTAGATTGCCTGGCCCAGGCTGGAACTCCCTCTTCGCAGCTGACCAGTGCTACATATAGGTTAATTTCCACATGGAGCTGTAGAAATTCTATCCCTGGTTTGTGAAGTTTGGGTCAAGCCAAAGCATGTTAATCTGTTTAGCATGTGTGCTTCGTGGAGGAGCCAGACCACCACCAGGCAAGAGAAGCAGCAGCCGCCGCAGCCGCAGTCCTTGGGGGTAGTTAATAAAGAGCTGAAGGGGGAGAGACAGTTTGGAGAAGAAAAAGAGAGAGGCAGAGTTCAGTTTGTGAGGTGGGGTGGCGCAGGGCATGTGCTTAAAGTTTCCAGCCTCTCAGAAAACTGAGAACTCTATAGATTGCTTAGAGCAGGAGCCACATGGCCAAATGCAGAGGGGATTAGGGCAGTCAGAGGGAGAGGCAGGAAGAAGGATAGTTGGTGGAGTCAACCTGATTGAAGAGGTGTTAGAAACTACTGTTGCCGCAGGAGACGCCCCTGGAGGGTTGAGGCTGGCCTTCGCTAACCTAGCACCCTCCAGGCAACTGAACAGGCTTGGAACTGGTTTTACATGTGTAAAACACACCCTTTATATCCTTTGCCAGTTGGGACTTGCTTTCAGTTGGTGTTCTTGGATCAGGGATGGGGAAGCTGTAGCACTCTAAATTTTGCTGAATTGCGACTCCCATCATCCCTGACCATTGGCCATGCTGGCTGGGGCTGATGGGGTCCAACAACATCTGGTGGGCTACAGCTTCCCTGCTTAAGATTAACAGCCCCCCATCCTATGAACATTTCCCTGGAAGCAAGCCTCAAACAATATGGGATTTCATTCTTAGGAAATTTCCATAGGATCCAGCTGCATGTCCCACCAATTTCAGTGAAACTTAACCTTCAAGCAAGAGCATGTCTACAGTATAAACTTAAACCAGTTTCAAGTTTGCTTAAAAATTATCTTGGCTCCTAAACTTGGAAAACTGGGAACTGTAGGGTTTAGAGTTCTCTGATGAAGAATTTCCAGCATGTTCACAAAAAACTAAAATTCCCAGGGTACAGTTTTTCGGAGCCAGAGATGAGTTGTTTATGTGGTTGCCAAACTGGTTTAAAAGTTGAAGTTCAGATGTGCCCTAAATGAACTGAACAGGGTAAGCTGGAAATCATTTGGTATTGGCTATAAACTTCCAGCTTTCTCCCTCTCCCTCTCCCTCAACCATCCCTTTTACTGAGGTAGACACTTAAAGCATTTTAAGCTAATCAAAATATTTGCTGATGAGTATTTATTTTTACAAGGTCTCGCTT